TGTTATCACTAATAAAATTTTTTCGTCAATAATTTCATTTTTTTTAATATTCAATTTTTCTTGATATACCCCAAATTTTGTTTAATAGATGTTGTCTCAAGAAAAGATAATAAGCTGGGCCTCTTTCTACAAAATTTATGCAACCATCTTGTTAACTAAAAATTGTTGGCAGTAAAGAATTTTTTTTAGATTGATATAGTTTATGTTTCTTTGTATGCACTTTAAATTTGGTTAATAAATTAAAATATTCTATCAATTAAATATGGAATTTGAGAAAATAAAGAAAAAGTAAAGAAGGATGTTAAAATTAATATACGTTAACCAAAAATAGAAAAAAAATTGTAAAAATTCTGTACCATAAGTTTTTAATTTTTTTTTATTTGTTGTTATTTGGTAGGTCTGTGAGATGTTGGTGATTGATTTAATTATTTAAATACGGTAGTCCCCTATCTATTTAGAGGAATGCATGCAATTCAATTTGAGACACTTACATAAATAGCATTCAGAGTCCTGAGTTGTATTCATTAAAATCAAGGCATAATATAAAGACTTAATTAACATGAACCAAGCAACCTATTTAATGAATAAGAGGACCAAATTGCACCAAAAACTCTCACAAATATACTTTTTTTTTAAATTTTTAAGTTTTTGTTTAACATCGTTATATATATTAAATAATAGTTTGTATTTCTTTTAGTTGAAGAACAACCTATTTTGCTTAATTTTTTAATTTTATCAAATTTCATTCGATTAATAAAAAATATTTTATCAATCAAATTTAAATTAGATTTAAAAAAGAAAATTATTTTATAAATAAAAAATATTGAAAATAAATATTTAAGAAATGTATCTATTCTATTTACATTATCAATGGTAAAGAAAACAGAATGCATGCGAATAAAATGAAATTGTATCAATCATCCCGACTTCAACTTGCTGAAAATAAAAAATTAAAATTATGCTTTGAAATTAAAAAAAAAATCATTGTGAAATTAATTTAAAACATAGCTCATCTATATTCATATTTTTTTTAGAATATATGTATTTCACTAGCTAACGTTTTAATAAAAGTTATATGCATCGCTTTTGTCTTAAAAACATACAAATTTTCATTTAAATTTATGATTTTTAAAAGTATTTATATTGATATTAAAATTTTAAGATAATACTTTTGCTAAGTATAACTTGTAATTACTTTGAATTTTGAAAGTGAATTAAGTGACATTAATCTATAATATTTAATGTTTTTCATTGGAAGAGTATACTTGGGAATATACATTATAGTAGATGCACATTTAATTAAATTTATAAATGTTTAAAATTTTACTTATGTTATTTTCTATATTACAACAATTTACAAATATTGATTTATTTATTTATTTCATGAAAATTGAATAAATAGTCTTTTAATAGTTTATATGCAAATAAATTATTTTTGGAAAGTTAAAATTACTTTATGCCAACTTTTCTAAAGTATCTTGCATTTTACTTTTATTTAGATAATAAAAAAAAAACTATTTCACCTAATAAGTTAGGTCATATATTAGAATATTGATTAAAAAGAAGAAATATGCAAGTAACTATGAATGAACGCATTTAAAACATTTGTATTCTGTTTGTGAAAATTGACCACTTAAAAGGTTAAGTTTAAAATTATTTCAAAAAATGGAATTTTGATGGAGTTGTCTCACTTGAATGTATTTATATGATTATCTTATATTATTTTGATAGTAATTTGGACGGACATAAATTTGAAGACTATTAGATGTTTAAGGATATATATATCTTCTTTTAATGTAGTCCATTTTTAAAATCTTATTTAATTAAAATAAGATTATGAGTTTTTTTAATTATAATACAAATTAAGGATTTTTAGTACGAAATTAAATAAAAATTTCATTATATGTATTTATTACATGTATTTATGTCAATCATATTCAAAAGTTAATTGAAATAGTGAAATATGATCAAATTTATTTTGATTTGACATAACTCATTTTAAGATTAGATTTATTTGAAATGATACACTTTAAAACAGAGAAAATAAAAGGAGGTGTAAAACTTATTTAGATGAAATGATTTAGAGGAATTTATAGTCTCTTACCTTAATTGAAATAAAAAAAAAAAAAAGTAGATATGCTCTGTCTAAAATGAGAATGTGTTAGGATCATGAACTTAGAATAAAAAATCTGGTGATTGAGTTGATTCTATTATTTTAAGTTTATTGGATTTAATCCAAACGTGGTTATATACATTTTTATTACGAGTTCATTCAACGTGTCTAAATAAATATTATGTTTACTTATAGAAATTTGTTTTCGTTCTATTTAAGATTAGGAATAGATATTTGTTTTCATTCTATTTAGATTAGGAATAGACGTAAAAACTATTTTTTAAATACATTTCATTATTTAGGATCTTATTTAATTAATCTAATTGAGTTTTTATTTAATGGATAAATAAGTTTAATTAGTCTATTTTTTTATATAATATTTATATTTATCTATATAAAAAGATGAAATATCTTCTGGATAATTTAAATCAAAAGAAATTTTGGAAATTGAAACTTTTTTTACCCACTTATTTAATGATTCTATAAAAATAGACTTATTCAAGACTTACCCTTTATATTATATTCTCATCAAATTTCTTATCACCTTAATGAGTGAAAATTGTCACCATTCGTATCTATAAAATATTTTGGAAAGTATTCCATTTCTGTTTCAATATATTATTGTGAACTATATAAAATCATTGAGAATATTATTTTGACTGGTGAAAATTTGTGTTATTTTTTCACTCAAATTAAAATTTAAACGGATTAGAAATGTTGAAAAAAATATATATATATATATATATATATATATATATATATATATATATATATATATATATATATAGCTAGATAATGTATAATGATTATGCATTGAAATCAAATGTTTTCCAACTAATTATGTATTATAATATTTGTTCAGAATATAAATAATAAATAATTTCATCTTTGTATTATATGATATTAAAGATTCAATTCTTAATTTATATTATTACACATTAAAATTATACTTTTTGTAAGATTATGTTTCATTTTATTAAAAGATATTTTATATCAGATGTAATATCAATGAATTTGAAAATATTATTGTTCTATTATATTTAATAGTTTTACATAATTTATTTATTTTTCCTTTTGATACGTGTAATATCCTAAAAATACAGTAATAAACCATATAATAGAAATAATTACATTTAATAATATATCAGTTCAGTCTTACACTAAACAACGTACGCTTACGGCCGAACGGCCTTACATAGAGCTACAAACTTAACTGCACAAGATAAGCAATATTTGACCGGGTTTACAAAACCAACATCAAACGGTCATACAAAACGAAAGAAAAAGGTGATCGAACGACCACCTTACAAAATAACTAAACTACTAACCGAACGTCCTACTGTTCAGTCTTCACTTCTACCTCTACCAAATTCTCTTCTTCCAGCGCCTCTTCCAGCAGCGCGTCTCCTTCTGCTCACATCCACACGGATGATCATTGCAACGATAAGACGAACGTACAAGACGAGACAACACAAGGAAAACACAGGGTAAGCTTATGTAATTTAATTCAGTTACAAAACATACAATTCATACCATCAACACACAGATAAAGTTAACAATACGTTTCAAGCAATGCCTACTACTAGACCGACCGTCCGGACTGTATGAAATCTGTGTAGCTACGACGTTCGTGCATCCTGGTGATGTAGTAACTGGAATACTCTCATCAGCTGCCACCCGAGGTTAGTCCTATATGTCCAAAGTACCCCTAAGGACTAGGACCTCCTGCCGTTCCCACACATGACCTACTCTCCTCTACGTGAGGACGAGTACTCACGAAACATCAGGATGAATCAACAGCTTAGCATTACCACAGTTATACTTTACAAATTTCAATTATTCACTCATGAGTCGTTCCTTCCCGGAACGCTCGTTCATATTCCACAACATTTTATCCATCTCATATACTCTCCATCTCTTATTATCCAACATTTCAATTTCATCTTTAACACCAATTCGACTAACAAAAAAAAAAAACCGAACGTTCAGTCCTCACTCAAAATGAGGACGAACACTAGGAACGAGACCGAGAAATCTCCCGTTCCAGAATAGAATAAGACCGAAAGGGTTACTTTTAGATTTAAGAATAAATCGAGTACAATTATACAATATATGACGAACGTTACTTNAAATATAATTAAATCAAGATTTAATGCACATCAGCTTAATAAACAGAGGACCATGTTGAATTGTTAAAACTTGTTAACCTTGCACAATCTTATTATTTATATGATTCAGTTAATGTCTTTTATTCTAATAGACATAGATTAACGATTTTTAATAATATTTGTCAAGTTGCTGACGAACTAACAAACCTATAATATTTTGTGACATGAGTTTCTGCATTGAAGAATAATGAAATACGTTAAAGTATTAAAGTTGATGTTTACTTTGGCCTAAAAATTACATATAAAGACGGAATATTCTATCGTTTTCATGCTTTTGGGTGCTCGAAACCATACTTTTATTGTCTTTTCAAATTGTATGTGTACAACCAAAATTAAACACGAAAGCTTTTCAATTTGCTGATGAGGTTTTGTTTACCTTCGTATTTTAATAAACAAATAGTTTTTTATAAGAAAAAAACATTATAAGTACAAATCAATGTGCAAAAAAACATTATAAGTACAAATCAATGTGCAAGAAAACATCATAAGTACAAATCAATGTGCAAAGAAACATTATAAGTACAAATCAATGTGCAAAAAAACATCTCATGATCTCTTATTGAATAGTTAGAAATGTGTCTCCGGCAAGACTAAAGAAAAGCAAGGGGATATACATAGCGAAAAACGGTGACAAATAGTAATTTCAAATAAAAAACAACTAGTAACAGAAGAAAAGAGGCCCATAATAGATCCAGTGTGTTTAATTTTTCTGACAAATGCAGGTACTGGCTAGCCCACTTGGCCATTCAGGAACATTGTAGTTGCGAGTGTGAAGCAGAGAGACGAGAAGTGAGAACGAAGGAGGGTGCAGCATGGGTGATGCAGGTGCAGGTGTGAAAATTGACGTGTTCTGGGACGAAGGAATGTTGAAGCACGATACTGGAATCGGTGTATTTGACACGGGAATGGAAGTAGGGTTCTTAGAGGTGTTGGAGAAGCACCCTGAAAATTCCGACAGAGTTCGGAACATGGTTTCTATCCTGAAAAAGGGTCCCATCGCTCCTTACATTTCTTGGAACTCTGGTAGATCCGCTCTCATCTCTGAGCTTCTTTCCTTTCACACTCCTGGTACTCTTTTCTTTCTCCATCATCGTCGTCATCATCGTTATATTTTCACCTTAATTCAGTGTATTCACACATGCTTGAGTTTGTTGTTACTTGTTATTATTTTCATTTTAGGATTAAGACGGGATTTTGGTAAACAATTCGTGCTTTGCATGACAGAAATTTTGGGATTTCATTGATTTGGTTTTGTCCTTCTTGCTTAGGAAGTAAGTGCGTTTGGATTTTGGTTAACTAGTTAAGTTTACTTCAATTTAATTAGAGATGTTATAGCTTTGAATTTAACAGAGTTTGAGATTATTTTACTTATAGCTGGATTAAGAAAAGTCAAATTTATTGATCCACGGATTAATACACAAAGTGAAAGTTGGTTTGGATGCTGTGACTACAATCCAAACACAATATTAGAAACAAAATTTAGGGCTTGGGTTTGGGATGATAAATGTGTTTTCTCTTTTTAAACTAGTATTCTATTTATTCTAACTGCGAAAATATACGTCGAGCAAATATTTTTTTTTATATCAATAGTTATTTGATTATGTAAATTAAAATAAAATTGTATTATAATTTTTAATACATGAAATTAATATAAAAATATATGTAAATTTAAAGATGGCAGGATTTGTTAGGGGGGATAAATAATAGGTAAGTCTCTGACTTATTGATGAGTAGGTTCCAAATTATTTTCCTTTTTACTTGGGTATTTGATCATGTAAATTTTTTATGTCTGGTCGCTGAATTTTTTTTAACTTGTCACAAGGTGTCATTTGTAGTATGTTTTAAATTGTCAAAAAAGTTAATTTAGAAACCTTTTCTTTAGTTTAGAGACCCAATTGAAAAACAAAATAGATTTAGGACTTATTTATAAATTACAAATGTTTAAGGACCTACCGAGTAATTAAATTTTATTATAATTTAAAATAATAAGATCTGATTTAAATTTATAAATAAAACATACTTATTATATCAACAAATAATTCATATCATTTAATTTAAAATTTTAAAATAATAATTGTTATAATTAAAAGTAGAATGCTACATAATTTATATTTAAAAATAATAGCATACTTATAGCAATGATTAGTTATAAAAAAGATTGTAAAATTTTAGAAAAATCAATTTCAATTTCATATGTTCTTGGCGTTAGCCACTGTGTATATCAAGAGAACAGGACAACACCTAAAGTGAGTTAATTTAGAGAGTAAGAAAAGGCTAAGAAAGTTAATTTACAAAATAAGAAGAATAAGAGTTGCAAAGTTATAATATAGAAATAGAGATACATAATTGTTTTGGAGATAATTTGGTGATTGGTGTGAAACGATGTATTGAAATGGTTTTCAAATGTTGTAAATCATTGTTTATCAAGAGAGCAAGAGAATACCTAAAGTAGATATTTAAGAAGATGAAAAAATAAGAGTTATACTTTCTTAAATTAATCCTCTAATAGATATAGATATATATATATAGCTGTGTTGGAGATACTTTGGGGATTGATATGAAACTGTATGATGAGGTTTGCAATGCTGTAATTTTCTAGAATACGTAAATGAACTCTTAGAAGCTGATAAAGAAGGGGGCAAGGAGCTTTGTGCTGGGACATTCTTGAACCCCGGATCATGGGATGCTGCACTTCTTGCTGCTGGAACTACACTTTCTGCAATGAAGCATTTATTGGATGGCCATGGAAAAGTTGCTTATGCCTTGGTTAGGCCCCCTGGTCACCATGCTCAACCTTCTCAGGTTGATGGCTACTGTTTCCTTAACAATGCAGGTCTAGCAGTGCAATTGGCTTTAGATTCTGGGTGCAAGAAGGTTGCAGTTATAGATATTGATGTTCATCATGGAAATGGCACAGCAGAGGGGTTTTATAAATCTAATAAGGTTCTTACCATCTCTCTTCATATGAATCATGGATCATGGGGTCCATCTCATCCCCAAAATGGATCAGTTGATGAGCTGGGCGAAGGAGAAGGTTATGGCTATAACTTGAACTTACCTCTACCAAATGGAACTGGGGACAAAGGTTATATATGTGCCTTCAATGAGTTGGTTGTTCCATCATTCCAAAAGTTTGGACCTGATATGATAGTTTTGGTTGCTGGACAAGACTCTAGTGCAGTAAGTTATGATTTTCTTCTCTACCCCATTAATATTTATTGCCAAGTTTATATAAACTTGATTTCATGCTCACGGATAAATAAAAATGTGGTAACATAATGGCAGTGGCACGTGACTTTCAAGGGACATCCATAGTTTGTTAACCATGGTTTGAAAACTTAGACAGTAGCATGGAACGAAATAGATAAAATGAGTGTAGAAACAAGTTTTTGAGTTTGATATCCCCATCAATCCAACGAATACTTTTCTGAATTTTGAAATATTGTACACTCCAAAAAAGCAAACTTTTTCGTGCTAATACGAATCCCAAGATCATGTTTCAGTAAGCGGTTATTCGACAGAAGCAAATCTGTCAATAGCTTTTAGGCTCTCTTTGTTTTGAAAAGATTACACGTGAGTTTCTTCATGATTTATTTAAGGGTTAAATATGTTTTTGATCCCTTAACTTTCACTGAAAATTGGAATTAGTCCCTCTTCAAAACTTTGAACTAATTTAGTCCCCAAACTTTAAAAATGTATGAATTTAATCCTTTTAACCAAAATTTGTTAACTTTATTTGATGTTTCAAACGCATTTCTCAATTAACATTGAAGCAAAAATGTGTCAAACGGTATAAACAACTCAAATGCTATCATGAAACGCACTGAAAACATCAAATAAAATTAACAAAATTTGGTTAAAAGGACTAAATTCACACATTTATAAAGTTTGGGGACTAAATTAGGCCAAAGTTTTAAAGAGGGACTAATTTCAATTTTCACTAAAAGGTAAGGGACCAAAAACATATTTAACCCTTTATTTAATAAATCAAAGCTCTAATGTCAGGGTGATCAATTGATTATATGAAAAGGACATTACCTCGGGTGTTTAGTCTTTAATAAACTGTTATGAACAACTTTGACCTGAGTATCCTCACACTCATTGCACTGAGAACTATCCCTTGGACAAATGGACAAGTTAACTAGGCGGTCTTTTCAAATTCACTGTTGCCTGTTTCTCGTGGACTTTTGTTTTCTGATAAATTATAGTATGTTATAACTTATAAATAATCAAATGCTCCATTTCCTTTCAATCACTCAAAGATTGACTGCATGTCACTTATAAATAATCTGCATACTGTAATTACTAGTTGCAACTTTATTACACTAATTTTTCATGATCCACATTATTTGTTTCGTTGCATTAATCACCTCACTTGTTTGTTCCAAGGTTACAACAGTGACCTTATGTGGCTATGTTGTAATGTTGAATCCAGGTTACAGTACTAAAAATATGTGTTTTACTTATGTTATAACCTGGTGTGCCTCAGTTTGATCCCAACGGAAGACAGTGCTTAACAATGGAGGGCTATAGAGAAATTGGACGGATTGTTCATGTTCTTGCGAAAAGTGAGAGTGATGGGCGGCTTCTAATTGTTCAGGAAGGTGGTTATCATGTCACATATTCTGCATATTGTTTACATGCAACACTTGAGGGGGTTCTCAACCTTCCTATCACTCTACTGTCAGATCCTCTAGGACGAGGGTACCCAGAGGACGAGACATTTTCAGTCAAAGTTATAGAAGCCATTAAGAATTATCAAAAAGATAAAGTGCCCTTCTGGAGAAACTCTTAAGATTCTTCCTCCTAGGAGTATGAGATTCACCTCCAAATTTCTGTTTACCCAACTCAATTCAATTATATTTCTGCAAATTGAGTTGGACTTATATTGTTTGACTCAATTAAAATTGAGTTGACTAATCCTATTATTCTGCTTCAGCACAATGTATGTAATATAGAAATAATGAAATGCTTATTAGCATTATTTGGGACATGTATTATGCCATTTAGGACATACATTTGTGTTTGTGACATTCCACCATTGGACTCACATTTTAAGTAATTCCTTGTTTTTCAATTCTAGGAAAAGAAATTCATTTTTTAATTTTAAATTACCTAAATATATTATTATAATCAATTGATTCAACTACTCAATCCAATTTAATTATATGGCTATGTAAACTTTATGTCATTAAATGTGGGAAAAGTAAAACTGTAAATGATTGGTTAAAGAAATTAATAGAGATAAGAAAGGTTGATATTTATCAGGTAATTATTTTTATTATGAGTTTGGTATGGTCTTTTATTTTTGTATTTTTTTAAATAAATTTTTATGT